ACAAGTTTTTTAAATTCCCTATATTGAACATTTGGACCAGTTTAGAGACTTTCTTAGATGACCTCTTTAGTTATTTTATTGCCTTCTTTCATAGTGGAACAGGCAGTACTGTAATCAGCATGAAATGAGCACACTGCTTGAGCACTTTTATTCATCTAGCATCACCTACATGAATTCTTCTTTTATTTTTGACTGATCAGTAGGACTATTCTCATTTTTACTTGTGTCGGATGGGGGACAGTTTCCTCACAGAATGCACCGGTGTAAACTAGTAGAAGGAAACAGCTGCATGCCTGCCTGTCTCTCCTGAACCTCAAGTGTTACATCTGGCCTTTACTTTATAAAGATCAGCACTAATGTGTTCAATGAAATGACACATCATAAGCAACGGAAAATCTATTTCTCAATATTTCATAGAGAGGAAGACAATAGTGAAGGCAGCAGCTAAACAAATCCTCTGGAGTTACACTTTCTAGGAATTCATCTTTCTAAAACACAACTGCAGGCATTTGTTTCCCTAATCTGCTGAATGGATGCTGCAAGAGTCGATCCATGCACTTGCGTGCGCAATGAAATAACAACCCAGCATTATATTCTTGCTAAAATTTCATCAGTGTTAATTCAAAATCAGCTGCAGCATGTGACGTGTATTTGCATACTACAGTCATTAGTGCTGAGTGATGCAATAGGTTTCAAGAAATGACCCACCAAAGGTCAAAGCAGTGACACGAGTAAAAGGTTAACAACAGCGTCCTACCACGTACCTCGACGATGTCAGAGTTGGTTCTGCTCTCGTGGGGTTCGTTGTATTCTGTGTACTTCAGCAGGACTTTGTCCATGTCGGTACTGGCGTACTGAAACAGCTTGTTGGAGCCATTGAAGATGATGAGGGCAATTTCACAGTCACACAGAACACTTAACTCGTAGGCCTTCTTCATCAGGCCAAACTTTCTCTTCATGAAAGTCACCTGGAAGAACAAAAGCCAGAGATCAGCCTAGAATAGCTAACCTACAACAGGTCAAATAGAGGGTCATACCTGTTGGTTCTTTCTAGATTTTCACAAGAAAGTCAGAGTATTTATAAAATTCAGGCTACACGGCATCCAAAAGTATTTTTGGATGTGTTCTGTCTGAAGTAATAAATCACCGTTTGCTTTGTACTCTGTGCTGTGTGTTGAAAATGTTATAAATCTTTCAAAAAAAAA